GCACATACGAATTTTGGAGAAGGCTTGAAATGCATGTTATATAGCCCAGATTGTCTGTGCTTCCTCCTCTTTCAGTAAGAACATAATTTAGATCCCTTTTTGGCACCCATGGCAATCTTTCCATTAATTGACGAAGACTTTGGAGCGCGCTCAGAACATGTCTGAGTAAAGGAATGTCCACAGCCATAACCAGAAATAATTTAATTTGGTTCTGGCTATAGAGCAGTTACATCAAAACATACCCCCTTTTCCCAGGGAAAGGTAACGTTACTGTGACAACTTGAAATTTTGTGTGAAAGTTTCTATCGGGAATTTCCAGAACATTTCTAGGTGCATTTCTGGCATGTCCATGCAAATAGCTGTACGCTTTCTTGGCACGCTATCAATATTGTTATTTTTTAAAGCAGATCAAACATCTAGGAAACATTTATTCTGGTCTTCCACCACTTCCTCCATGTCTCAGTTGAGAATAAAATGAGAGCTGAATCTCAATTACTGCTCATTTTACAAAACCAAAATCCAGCGAGGGCAGTTCTGTAAACTCAACGCTAAAATACAGCTAGTGAGATTTGGCAAGACCATCTCTATTTTTTAAACAGGGCCTGAGCTGTATTAAGTGAAGTCTGCATTTATTAAAATGGATCTTAAAGTAAAACGGAGAACGTTTTACAACTACTTGGTGGCTCAGTGTCAAGAGTGCCAACTGGGTGACCCTATTTTATGTGGGCTAAGCGCTCCTCTCAGTTGTACGGGTCACCTTGCAAGCCTGGAACCTGCGCCCTGGTGAAGCATTGCTGCTTCAGCGCCTTCGGGGGAGCTTCACGTTCCTTACTCAAATATTGTCACGCTACCACTTCAGCAGCCCACCCGATGCACGGGCAGGGAGCGCTCAAAGGTTTCCCCGGGGTGCCGGTGTTGCTTGGTTTGGATGCCGTGGCTGTAGCTACAGACGCTGTCTGCAGGCTTCTTCCCTAGAGCGCTATTTTCAGGGAGTCAAAAGAGTCATCCTGCGCACAGCTCCGCTGAACGTGTGTCGCAGCACGACCGCGCGGATGTTTTCTTCCTACGATAAAGCAGCACCCCATTTTTTCTTTTAAAACGGAAGGTAAGAGGCTGGTAATTACCGCACGCCGGGACGTCACAAAGCTCAGACTTGAAGTTCTCGTCCAAGGTGAAGCACCACGGGGCTTCCTTCTGGCTGCCGGGGTTGCGGCAGTACGAGTGGCCCCCGTTGAGCTCGGGGTAGCGCACGGCCGTGAAGGTGTGCGCGTGGGGGTACTGCGACACCCACGGCTGGCACTGCCGCCCCGACCGCGTCACGCTCACTGTCCCCCGGTAGTCCACGCCTGTGCTGTTGTAGCATTTGTGATCTGCGGGGAAAAAAAAAAATGACGGCAATGATTGACGGGGGTAAGGCGGAGCGCTCCTGTCCTCGGCGGCCAGCGCGAGTGTCATTGACCTCGTGGAGACTGAACGCGTTTCTGCTGGCCCGAGGCCTGGAGACCCAGCTCGGGAGTGAGGGCTCCCAATTTGCCGTGGCTGTAACACAGCGCCTGCTTTGCATTCGCATTCCTGGGAGGATTTAAAGCTTATGGCTCTGTAATGAAAACAGCTTATGTCAAGCATTTTTAATATAAGATACACAAAAGAAGTCAAAACTACAGTGGGAACCTGCATTGCATGCTTTATTTTGATAGGAAGGCAGAGAATTTGCGGGAGCCACATTTTCTATCTGCCTATGCAGATGCACAAAGGTCCCAGCTGGGCGGTAGCCCAGCCTGATCGAAAGAGGGAGCTCGGGCGATACCTACAATTAGGCCCAATTAGGTAGGGGCAGGCAGGATCCTGATCCTATGAACGTGCCCATGCTGGTCAGCGCTCCCGAACTGCACCCACGGTCCTGCCAGGGTACATCAGGCTGTCGAGGGGAGCACACGGAGGCTGTGCTGAAACCATCGCTGTTTCCCAACATTCGAATGTTTACGGGGAAGTCAGGGTTTCCTCCTTAACATTAACTAGAGAAGGACTGAGGCCAGTAAACAGCTTTTAGCATAAACCCAGCGACAGTTCAAGAAAAACGTTCTGAATTTCTGCTCGCTCTGGACTAGTCAGCGCAGCATTGCAGGAGCTCGGTAATCTGTGACTACAGCTTCTGGGAGTTTGCAAAGCCCAGCGCTAGCTCTAATTGTGAGGCAGAAGCAGTTAGATCCAACATCGGCATTTTTTGCTTGGAAGCACAATGAGTTTTCACTTACTTTTATTTATAGGATCAGCCATTGGAATTCCAATGCGGATACAATTTACAGCTTCCGGGCTATCTGGCTGGGGAAGATCTTCACAGTTGGGCAGCTTTAATCTCATCAGAATCATGGGATTAGATCTTGCAAAAATATACTCTGTCTGACACAGGACGTTTTCCAGGATTTCACATTCATCCCGGCACAGGTCTCGTGGCTTGGGAGCGGACGAGGTCTCATCGCAGTAGGGGAAAGCATAATGGCACAGCGACGGAATGGCAAACTGGGAGCATTTATCAGACAAATGACTGGAGGTGCCAATCATGGTGAAGGCAGCTGGAATATATACAAAAGGATTTTACTTAACCTGGTGCAAGTTTTATTCCTGCGCTCTCGCCTTTGCAGCATAACCCTTGCTTCCCATCGTGACTGTTATTTTCAGGTGATGAACATGCCTTCCAGAAATACAGAGCACTAATTACATTAGAAGTTAATAATAATGTTGTTTTCATTGACAGAAGAAAGTATATAGAGCAGAGAGTTACTGTGGCTGGGATCCAGCCAAGGTCAACTTACATAAAAAGGTAGATGAGTATCCTGATGTTTATGAGGCCTGAGCTTGAATGCAGCACCCCTATCAGCAGGGTCTCCCACCAAAATGATGAAACACGGTTCTTTTCTAAATCTAAAGGAAAATGCTACCAGCTGAACTACTGAGGCGGCCTCTTCCAGCACCTATGGCTCTTCTAAACAACCTCGACCACATAATAATCGCCTACGGTTGGTCTCTTCACTTCTCAGATAACAGCACAAGGTGGCCTAGCTGTGAATC